AATTGAGCAAAGAACAGTGTGGAAATCGGAGGAAAGGATGATAATTTTGTCAAAAAATCCTATTTTGTGCAAAATAGTCAGGCCACGATCAATATTTTGACTGGCTGACCAATTAACTAACCAAGTTATTGGCCGGCCGGTTAATTTGCCCAAAATCAAGGCAGTTTCGATAGAATTCTTGTTGAAAGCGTGTGGGTTATGCCATTTCAGATCTTTCTTGATACATTCATACACGAGATACATACCTACTTACCCTCCATTGTCCTCCATTAGCATCCATTGTCAAAATGGTGTTTGTCTCTTCCACAGAAGGAGCATCCAAAGTCTTCATCTTTGTCACCCCATTATTCTTATCTCCCACCTTGTCTTTCACCCTCTCATTGACTTAGCATTCCATCATTGCTTATAAAGAGGAGGATTAGATTGTTAGGAATGAAAAATAAGGAAAAGAGAGAAGTTGGCCAAAAACTCTCATTTTCTATATATACTGCTATACACTGATATCCCATATTTCTATATATCAAAACCATCCCAAAAATTTTAAGAGACAAATTCTTGAGCATTGATTCAAAGGAGAGAGTGGGTGTTGTTGAAAGAGAGAAAAACAGAGAGTTGAACAACTCCCCTACACACACTTTAAACAACCCCAAAACACTATCCCAATAAAAATTTCGAATTGAGAATTGAGAACACATTTCTTAAACTTGAGGGTGATCAAAAGGAAGTTTAGAAATCATATCCTTTCCTTGAAAGGTGAATTTTGCACACTTTATATTTTCTTGTATTTCTTGTCTATATTGTTTTCCTTGCTTTGATTTCGTATTATAACATGTTGTAAGCTAACTGGAAGTGGTTAGTTGAGCCATCTACATATTTTCTGTTTGTTTTTTTGGTGTTGCAACAAAATAGAGTTCTTGGCCTAGCCTGATTGGCCGGCTAACCAACTTCTTCTGGACAGAACCCAGCAGCCTCCCAACGCTGAGCAAAACAATCTCCAATGGTCTCTGAAGCCCCCTAAAGCTTCTGTTTTTCTATTTTTCTTTTAATTTTAGAGCGATATATGAGGATATTTTTGTTGTAATATTTTTATTCCTCTCCTCCCTTATTCGGATATATAATATTCCAATGTTGTAATAATTCCCCACAATGCTTCTTTTTATCTTGTTCTTTTATTTGTTTTCCATATTTTCTACATATGTGGTATATTTTTGCTTGTCCTTATATCCATGCTTTGCATCCATGTTTTATGCCTTGAGATTCAATTAAATTTGCATCTATGGGTTTAATCGATTATTATGTGATTTTGTGCGCTATCTCATGTTCTTGAGATGATTCACATGTCATATATGATAAGTCGGATCTTTAGTTGCATTTCATGAGTTCATTGCATCAGGATCTTGTATATATGATCATGCATATTTTATTAACTTTGTTTTGTAATTGTTTACGGGATATCGGTAAATATGTAAGTTTTTTTTGTTTTAGCATCTCGCTTGTGTGTGTTTTTCTTACGATGTTTAGTATCTTACCATGTGGCTATTTGCTTGTTTGATATAACTCTATGCATGCAGCGGGTGAAGGTTGTGTTGTTTAATTTGGAGTAAAATTGATTTTCATGTTTGTAAAATTCAATTATTTGTCTTGTACACTTTTCAAAATAATGAAATTAAGCCGTTCCAAAATGAATGACACATTCTATATTTGTTTGCTTCATATAGTAATTTTAGGATTTATTAAATAAATCAAAATATGAACATGTGAAGTTAATAAAAATCATATCATGGTTTAATAGAGGCTGATCTTTTGATCGGGTGAGCAGAGGTGCTCAATTAATGACCTTCCCCCCTCAAACCTTTCGAGCCAAGTATCTTTGATTACGACAAACAGTGACCTTGGCATGAGTCACGAGTTTTCTTAATTTTTTCAAAATATTAGGTGACGATTTTGAGATCTGATGACGCAGTCTATTTTTGGCAAATGTTTTGCAATAAAATGGATTTTCTATAAAAGTTATCAAATCTAGACTCTCATCTATGTTTCACATTACATTCATAAGACTAGATTGAAGAAATCGAGGGTTCAAACTATTCAACGTGCGCAAGCACCCCTCGGGCGGTGTTACATAATCCACCAAAATTGAGCAACACAAACCAAATAAGATTTGAGTACAAACCTGGGAACAATGAAGTTGGTCCCAAACCAAGAAAAGAAAGAGGAAAAGAAGTAAAAAAAAAAAAAAAAACAACAAAAGATTCAAAATGTTGACCAAAGTGATCACTTCATTATTTGGAAGTTACCAAGTCTTTACATGAGGCATTAACAGAGCGTTATATTCAATCGGCAACTCTTAAATAAAATATATATTCTTATTCAACCACAAAGTCTATAAACCAATAAATAAAAATAGATTCTCATATTAATTTCTTTAAACCATTGATTTTTTCATAAATTTAAAAACTTCTCTTTAATTTTCTAGGGAGTGAAATTGATTGCAATCAAATTCTCAAAACCTTTGTATACATAAAATATCCATTCATATTCAATCACAAAGTCCATAGACTAGTAAATAAAAGGGAAATTTGGCTATAAACCCCCTTTACCTTCCTTTCATTGTTAAAAGGACTAAGAAAAAAATTAAATTTTCTAAACCCCTTCATAATTATAAAATCTTACATAAAGGACAAAATTTATTATTTAAATATTTTTTCAGACATTATACCCTCAACTAAATCTTCCCACCTTCTCCACCCACTCTCTCTCCACCTTCTTGGTCTCTATGACTCTGGCTAGCCAAAATCGAGTTCATCTAAGCCTAAGATTCATTTAATCTTTGACCTAGAACACTGACCTGGTTCAAGCAATCACAATCTGACCTGTGTATTTGAATTGAAGCTTAGTTTGAAGCTTTAATCTAATTTGCGTCTGTTAAGAAACCAAGGACTTCATCGCAAAATTGATCCGATTTGACAATCAACCCGAATTCAAGCTTCTGGAACTCGCGATTACGAACTGGAGTCCTTCGCGATCTGACCTTGGGTTCTTTTTTGTGACTCGTTGTTCTTTGAGTCAACTTCGATGGGAACTTTGGATTTCAAGTTCTAATTGGAATTGTGATTTCAGTTTGCATCTGGCTTAAAGGTTGCAAACTCTAAGTTCGAACGACTTGCAGATCAACTTCACTAACTGAATCGGAATCAGACTTGTGTTTGCTATCTTGAAGCGAAATTAGACTCAATTTGAAGCTTCTATTGCAATTTGAAGATCCATCGAGTTCGCAATGACTACGTGGAGAAGAGTGCGGGTGGAGTTGTTTGGTTATACATATTTTTTTAAACACAGATTTGAGTTTTGAATATATGTATATATATATATATATATTTGTGTGTATGAGTGTTGTTGAACACATGTATTCTTTTCATTGAGATTTGTGATTGTTGATCGAGTTTTAGAAGTTTTTCTTCTCAATTAGATATATTGATTTGTTGATTAATTTGTTTTGTTTTTGTTTGTTTTTTATTTATTTTTGTTGTTTTTTTTATCTAATTTCATTTGACAGAACCAGAGTAAAATTTTACTCTGGTTCTATTGCTTTGTTTTTTTCATTTGACACAACCAGAGTAAAATTTTACTTTTATACAGAGTAAAATTTTACTTTTGTGTAGAGTCTAACATTTTACTCATTTTTCAGAGTAAAATTTTATTTTTATACAGAGTAAAATTTTACTTTTGTGTAGAGTCTACCATTTTACTAGTTTTTCAGAGTAAAATTTTACTTTTATACAGAGTAAAATTTTACTTTTAGTTTCAGAATGTAAAATTTTACTTTTATACAGAGTAAAATTTTACTTTCATACAGAGTAAAATTTTACTTTTAGTTTCAAAATGTAAAATTTTTCTTTTATACAGAGTAAAATTTTACTCTGAAATATATAGTGAAGATGACTTAATAGAAGAGCTGATAGATATGAGGGTAATATAGTAAAAGAAATAAGTTTTAAAATATTAGGGGGTTTTGAAAGTACTTATATAATTCTTGTCCTTTTGAAAGACAAATTAGATAGTGAGCGGCCATCACCAAATCCCCCTAAATAAAACAGTTATAGATTTCTTATTGAATTTCTAAGATTTCTTAGTAAACCAGTATATAAAACAGATTATCTATTTCTATTTCAATCACAAGTGGGCCATTCATTAAAATCCTAATTGTTTACTTGATAAAAACTCTAATTTGAGATTTTAAATTCACAGAATCACATAGCTCACAACATAAACAATAAAAATGATTCAATTAAATCCCCAAATCAAGACCACCTCAAATTACCATCACCAAAACCAAAGCATCATGTATATATTTGCAAGTTTTTGATTTCTATTTGGTGAAGAAGTAAAGATAGAGATAAACAATACATAGAGAGAATTAGAATAGGAGTAAGGTTTAGATTGGCAACAATACAGTGAAAATAGATACCATAAATTGCCGTTGGTGATGACGATGGTGAGGGAGAACGAGCTGCACCAGTGAAAGAGATTCATTGAGAGAGGGACACAAATATTTGGCTGAAAAGAAAGTTTCGTACTTTTTAGTTTTTGTTAACGCTTTTAATGAAATAAAATAAGAATTTATCTTATATGAGAGAGTTATAATGACTTTTTATAAATAAGGAGTGATTGTAATTTGTAACAATCCTAAATTTGAGGAATTATATAAGGAATATGTTGAGGAGGGATTTTTTGACAATCAATCTCCTAATTGAGCAAAAAGGAAAGATAAGAGCTCTAATGAAAATGTTGTAACAAGATGTACATGTTAAACGCCGTTTGATGATGGTGGCCGTTTGAGTGATGGTGAGAGACAAGCATACAAAAAGCCCAATAAATTATGGAAAAAAGTCTGATTTTTTATTTATTATTATAGGTATTACCGTTTCAAAAAATTTCAATTCATTTCATCCAAACGTCTAGTAACTGTAATTTAAACGTCTAATTCTAATATAGAATTCAGTACTTATTCGGCCGGTCTAATTGCGGGCACCATCGTTTGGTACAACTACCTCCACAATGCGCCACCTATGATAACCCTAACAACACTCTCTCGGATCGTCTTCTTCAACCTCTTAAACCGCCTCATCAATTTCATTCTTCAATTTCCATGGCGACTCACAAGCTCGCTTTGATCATCAAAAACCCTTCCAACGACTCCCAATTCCTTCTCCTAAAGCAATCTCCTCCTCCCAAATTCGACCACGATGAATACGATTCCTTCATCGATTCCGATCTCTGGGACTTGCCTTCCACGAAACTTAGTCCACTCGAAGGAGAGTCGAACCCGAGAATTGTTGTTGAAGGCGAAGAATCGTGTTCAGAGAGGCTTGAATTGTGTAAATTTGATCTCAATTTGGCCCTCAACCAGGTATTTCTAAACTCAATTGTGATCTCAAGTGCTTTTGTGTGAACTGTGGTTGCCATTGAATTTTATGAAATGCTTTTTGAATGTTATGATCAGTGGGTGGTGTGATTGTAGGTTTTGGAACAAGTGGGTTTTGGGACACCTAGTGGGGTTCAGTGGAAGCTCTGCAAGTGTGTGGAAGAACCTGAATTTGGACCGGGATTGCCTGTTCAGACTGTGTATGTTGTTGGAATATTGGGACCTGAAAATGGAGATTTACAAGGTTTGCTGCGATTAATGTTTGTGATATTTATTGGGTTTTGTAGTATCCTAGACCCTAAACCTTGGGTTTTTTTGATTAGTGTTTGAGATTATATAGGATGTCTGGTCTATCTTTTTTTTTTCAATAATTATTAATGTATCTCAATTTAATGAAGTAGAATTAATCAATCATAATCACAGTTACAAATAAACTCCCAAAGTGAGAGGGAGGGAGACCCCAAACAAATGCAAGGAATAATTTGAAAGTGTTTCCTGAAAATGGATTTATTTTTAGAATAGAAAACGAAAAGATACCAAATGCGTTCTTATAAATATATTCTATAAGAAAATTTAGGTTTACAGCTTGTAGGTACTTGTGTCTCAAGGCATGACTCTTGCTTAGGGGACCTTACCTTGGCACGCCACTCGGTGCTCACCACCACCACTCAGTGACTATTGTTTGGCACCATACACCTTGCCTCGCCTTGTCAAAGGCTCCAAGTCTGAAATGGCACTCTAGGCCAGAAGTAGGGCCTAGGGACCCCCTCAAGGTCGATGCCTCAGTCATGGGGCAACCCAAGATCCAATGAGGAATCACCAGGGATTGTGGATTGGCTCTAGAGGGGTCGTCGGAGTTGATTGCCTCACCCCTTTAGGGTGACCACATTTTGACTAGTTGTAGGCATGAGAAAGACCAAGTCATGTGATACTTTGGAAAGTATGTCACACCTATGATCTATCCACTGCTATCTAGTAAGGTGTACCATGTATCACACCTACTCAGCATAACCCATGAGAGTGAGCTGGCTCCTATGTTCCCAACTCTCCTATGAAAAGGGGGTCTCTCCTTCATATGCAACAAGCAAGCCCATTCATGAGAACTCCTCCATATATCAGAGGTTCTCCTCCCTCACTGTCACTCTCACTATACTGTAAAGCTGCCTTAGCTTTCTCCCTTTCCATGTTTGGTGGTCTTGCGCCATCTTAATGCCTACCATAATTTCCAGAAGGGCACATGGTCTGCCCAAATCGCTTATGACCACCCATAAAATTATAATATGTTTATGAAGTAGGAGAATGCTATTTTTGTGATATGCAACATTGTTTTCTAAAATTAATCTTGTTTAATGTGCTATAACGATCCCAGTCATAGCTCCTAACTTTAACTAATTAGGTATGCACAATATAGAGTTTTCTAAACAACAGACAAAAGTAGGTGATTTTTATTACACCAGAAAAAAGAAGAGAGATATCACATATGCATTTTGTTTTCATTTGATTTGCTGATCACCTCAGTCATTTGGTTAGCCTTAACATATCATGGAATAAATTATTGGGCACCTATGATAATTTGCCACTCATGGAAAGTTTTTACATTTAATGTTGTGCTTGAATAGTTGGAATTATTGGGCACCATGCTCAAACATTGCAGTGATGCTCATGTATGAATGTAGGATTTGTTACACAAAAACTTGTAGTTAACTCAACTGTTGTAGGATTTGTTGTGTAAACATTTTGTAGTTGACCGTACACCTTTTTTTTTCCTTTTCTTTTTTTGTTGCTTTAGCAAATTTTTTTAATTTTTCCTTTTTTATAATCAGCAATTTTGCTTTCATTCTGATTAGATTTGATTACAAAATTATCATTATACTTTCTTAATGTGATTATGAAAGCACCTTTCTGAGCTGCATTATCATGCTTGACAGCCCGAGCATTTTATTGTTGTTATAGCATCTTTTGCAAGGCTGATGTGATTAATGTTTTGTATAATGTATGCAGGGCTATGTAAATGGATGTCTCTCCAAAGTTGCCTAAGTTGTCTTCTTGAAGTGAAACCAAGTAGTGATCGTGTAGGACCTTTGGTTGTTATTGGTCTTGTAAATGACTCACTTCAACCTGCCAAGTGGAAAATCCCTCCCACCTTGAATTTCCAGGTTTTTTCCCCTTTTGGGTATGTTGTTCATATGGGTTGGACATGCTACATAAAGAATAAAGGAAGTTGAGTCCATCAATAAATAGGCATTAGGAAACTGAGAACCTGGCAATTTTTTTTCAAATAAGCTCAAAACTTATTGTGACCACTAAAATGACTCTAGTGATCTACTATCAAATCTGTGTGCGTGTGGGTGTGTAAGTAGAAAACAAGAAGATGTTAATATATTGATTAAACATGAAAAATTAATCGCGCTGGAGGGAGCAATGCCCCATCTGGTCAACGCCTATTCCTTCTAGACTACACTGTAATAATGAACTCAATCAAGTGAAGTGAATTACATGTGAGCTAAAAAAAAAACTATTGAAACACTTATCTGTAGCTTGGTTACAGAGCTAAATCACAAGTTTTATAATGGGAATTCGCTTCCATTATTTTTATATCTTTTGTCTTTGGTAGTTTTTTTGCCATGTACAAACTACATAACAAGGGCAATTTGGAAATAGGTGAAGCATCTATATTCTATGTTAGTCATGTCAATGGGTCTAGGTTTGGGATATGGAGCGGTGAAGTTTCCCTGTTGAATGCAATCTGTCACATGTAGATGTTTATTACCTTTGTCCCTATGCTATTTAAGAAGAAAACTTGAGAACTTAGTTATTTAACTAGGTCCTTGGATGAGTTGGGTGGCTAGATTCATACCCATCCTGATGTGTATTCAAGTCCCTTTGAAATAGCCTCTACATCATAAGATTTGGTTGAAACATCAATGCATTGAGTTCCACTACCCTGATTTTTCTGTTATTTTTTTACTTGCATTTTAGTGAATTAAAAAACTTTCACTGTTGTCTACTTTCATCATATTAATGTTTTGTAACAGAACTGTGACATATTTTGCATCTTTTAGGAGTACCCTCTTGGTGTTAAACTTGTACCTATGGGAAGCAGAACAGCAAAGCCCTTCCATACTACAAACTTGGTTGTATTTTCACCAGAGAGTGTTTCTGATGGCTTGACAGATAGCAGTTTTGTTTCTCATGGAGATGCATTGATAGTAGATCCAGGATGCCGGCTTGAATGCCACAAAGAGGTATAATATCAATTTGAACTGTTGCAATGTGGTTTTTGTTGGAAATTTTGGTTTTATAAGTTTATTTTGGGCTAACTTTGAGCCCAAATGTAAGTGGGGCCCACATGTCTTTTGAGGTGGGTCCAAGTGCCGCATGGCAAGTCACACAGTAAAGACGGTTCGTCAAAACCATTTATAGGTGAATGGGAAGTTGATGTCGTTTTCGGTTTTGTGAAATAGGAAGTTGAATAGTCAAATTTGGGTTACCTTGTTTTGGTTGTCCCACATATAAACAATAAGAGAACTTGTATAAGTATCAATCCCGCTAGGTAGCTCGAATAACTTGTCGTTTTGGCACTTTTTTTTTTTTTTCCCTTCTTCCTTTCCGACTTTTCTATCTGTTTTCTCTCTGAAAGAGAGGAGGCAGGAGAGAAGGAGAGAAAAGAGAGGAAGAGAGAAGAGGGAGGGGGAATAGAGAGAGAGAGAGAGAGAGAGAGAAGAGAGAGGGAGAACAGAGAGAGAGAGACAAGGGGGGAACAAAGAGAGAGAGAACCATCACCGTCGCAAACCCTCCACTCACTGGTGCCGCCATCACCGTTGCTCATCGCCATCGCCATCACTGTTGCAAACCCCTCCACCCACCGGCGCCGCCATCACCGTCGCCTATCGCGACCTTCTTCTGTGTGTATACACAGGTCTGTGTATACACACATAGATCTGTGTGTATCTCTCTCTCTGTTCCCCCTCTCTTCTTCTCTCTTCTCTCTGTTCCTTCTCTCTTTCTTTCCCTCTCTTCTTTTGTTGTCATCTTTCTGGATTGTATAAGCCTTTTTATTGGATATGATCATCGATGAAAGCCTTTGAAATCATTGGATTTATATTGATCGTCAATTGAGTTCCTCCTTTTTCTCTCTTCCTCCTTCTTTCTGTTCCTCCTTTATTTCTTCTCTCACCTCTCTGTTTCAGAGAGAAAAGAGGGGGGAAAAAAAAAGCCAAAACGGGGCCACTCAAGCCTCCAAAATTTCGAGCTACGAAGCAATTTTCTATGAGTATATAAGCTCTAGGTTGACATACTTGGGATGGGCCTCAAGGGGCACCCCAAGTTTTGTAAGGAAGGGAGTTATGGACAAAGTGGGTTTGACCCAAATCCACCACACGCGTGCCGCCGTTCGCCGAGTCGGGCGTGGGTGCGGGTTAGGTCCTACCTTTAATTTTTTGGACAAAATTCATTTAAATTTTTGTAAATTCTTGCAGGAAAATTTAAATTTCCAAATGAATTGATTGAAATTTTTGTGCGAAAATTCGAAATTCAATTTTTTGGTCTAAATCAGTGCCTCTCCGGTCACCTTCTTTCATCTTTTCTGGCGATTCAAATTCACACTTGTTCGGAGGGGTTTTCTGCCCTTACGAACATGTACCACATGTAATTTGAGAGAATACAAAGCTTGAGTGATGAGTATGATATCATCACCGTTTATATTAATCAATCAACTATTACAAAAGGAAATCCTAAGGCGCTGATTAAGGAATTACCTTTTATGTTGATTGATTGATTAAGGAATCGCAATCAATCGATCAATCGATTAATCAATCAACCAACCAATCAATCACAATCTAATCTAAATAAAGAAACAAGAAAATATTCTAACACTCCCCCTCAAACTGGTGTGAAGATATCTCGTATGCACAACTTACTTCGAATGTCATGAAATGGTTTACTCCCAACTCCTTTGGTGAGGATGTCTGCAAGTTGTTTGCCTGACTTCACAAAAGGAGTACATATCATGCCGCTGATGAGTTTCTCCTTGATAAAGTGACGATCAATCTCAACATGCTTTGTCTTGTCATGTTGAACAGGATTGTGAGCTATGTTGATGGCGGCCTTATTGTCACAATATAGCCGCATAGAGTCTGTCTAGCCCATCCCCAGATCACTCAACAATAGTCTGATGCACAAGAGTTCACACACACCTTGTGCCATAACTCTAAGCTCAGCTTCTGCACTCGATCTAGTCACCACATTCTATTTCTTACTCCAAGTAACAAGATTGCCGCCCACAAAGGTACAATATCCTGATATAGATCTCCTATTAGCTATTGACCCTGCCTAATTAGCATTTGTATAGGTTTCCACTCGGAGGTGATCATGTTTGGAAAAGTAAAGGCCCTTTCCAGGAGAAGATTTTAAGTACCTTAGAATTCTCATAACAACCTCTAAGTGAATTTGATGAGGAACATATATAAACTGACTAACCATACTGACAGCAATAGCAATATCAGGACGAGAGTGAGATAAGTAAATGAGCTTAACCACTAATTGCTGATAACTCCCCTTATCAATAGCTCTTCCTCCTTCATTATTACAAAGTTTTTGATTAGGTTCCAGTGGGGTATCACAGGCCTTACATCCAAGCATCTCTGTTTCCTTCAAAAGGTCAAGAACATATTTCCTTTGTGAGATGAAAATCCCATCCATGGAGCTAGCAACTTCGATTTCCAAAAAATATTTCAAGTTTTCCAAGTCTTTGATTTCAAACTCACTAGCTAAATCTTTCTTCAACAGGGGTATTTCCCCACTATTATCGCTTGTAAGCATTATGTTATCCACATAAACAATGAGAGCAGTAGTCTTACTACGTGAGGAATGTTTCACAAAGAAAGTGTAATCTGCCTGACTCTGTTTGAAACCATATTTAAGCATAGCCCAAGTGAATCTCTTAAACCAAGCCCTTTGAGACTGTTTGAGACCATATAATGACTTTCGAAGTTTGCATACTTTACTCTCTGTCTGATGATCCTCAAGACCAGGAGGAATGTCCATATATACCTTTTCTTCTAGATCACCATGTAAGAAAGCATTCTTTACATCAAACTGATGAAGTGACCAATCTAAATTAGCTGCTAGAGAGAGAAGTATTTTGACTGAATTCATCTTGGCCACTGGTACAAAAGTCTCCTGATAGTCTACTATATAAGTTTGAGTGAAGCCTTTTGCCACAAGTCGAGCCTTTTGCCACAAGTCGAGCCTTGTAACGCTCAATAGAACCATCTGCTTTGTGCTTCACAGTATACACCCATTTGCATCCCACCGGTCGTTTGCCCTTAGGTAACTCAGTTAATTCCCAAGTGCCATTCTTACAAAGTGCTTTCATTTTCTTAATCACTGCAAGTTTTCATTCAGAGGTAGCAAGAGCTTCCTGAAAATGGTTAGAAATACTAATAGAGGAAATGTTTGACACAAAGGCTCTATAAGAGGAAGACAAATGAGAGTAGGACACAAAGTTTGAGATAAGATGTTGAGTACAAGATCTCACACCCTTTCTCTTGGCAATAGGAATATCAAGATCAGTAGTGTCATCAGTAGACTCAAGAAACAACAGGTTGACTTTTATCAGAAGCAAGAGATGGCGGTGGGTGAGCAAAAGTGTCTCTTGTATCCAAGTAACTTTTTGTCTATCTTTATCCCTGACATAAACTTGCCCTTCCTTGTCCTTGGTGGCATTGGATTTTATAGTCCCAGTAACAGGTGGTGCAGGAACAGCTGGTTCCACCATAGGAGCAACAGGGACAACAGGAATTTCTTCACAACAAGGCTCCCCCTGAAGGGATGACTAGGATTGGGACTCAAAAAAGGTGACATCCATGGACACAAACCACTTACGAGAAGGAGGGCGATAACACTTATACCCCTTTTGAGTAGGCGAGTATCTGAAGAAAGCACACTTGGGAGAGAGAGGGTCCAACTTACCACGAGTAGGAGAATGGTTGTGGACAAAACAGACACAGCCAAATATTTGAAGGGAATGGAAAACAAAGACTCTGAACCTAGAAGGACTTGAAATGGAGCTTTTTTTTGCAAAACCTGGGTAGGAAGACGATTAATGAAATAGGCTGCAGTGAGAACGGCCTCGCCCCAATAGGATCGAAGCACACTCATAGAAAAACACATGCAACGAGCCATATCAAGAACAATTGATTTTTTCGTTCTGCAACCCCATTTTGTTAAGAGGTATTGGTGCAAGATACCTGATGTATAATGCCATGAGTGAAAAAATAGCTCTTTAATCCCGAATCGATGTATTCAGCCCCATTATCAGAACGCAAGATTTTGACAATTGCCCTAAACTGAGTACAAATCATTTTATGAAAATTTTGAAACTGAGAAAACCTCACTTTTTTCTTTCATGAGATACAGCTAAATAGTACGAGAAAAATCATCGATAAAGGTAACAAACCATATATGGCCTTGTAAAGACATAACACGAGATGGACCCCGCACATCAGAATGTATTAAAGAAAAAGGAGCTAAACTTTCATTAAGACTTGGAGCAAAAGAAGCTCGGTGTTGTTTTCCAAGTTAAGAAGCCTCACAAAGAAACTCAGACATATTATTGTTTGTAAAAACAGACGGAAATAATTGCCTAAGTAAATGAAAAGAATGATATCCAAGACGCTGATGCCACGACCATAAATCCTCTTTGATAGTTGGGAACTGGATGGAATGATGAGCAGTCTTGTTCTGTTGATCCAAGAAATAGAGACCATTTTTTGCATTACTACTGCCAATCGTCCTCCTCGTGACAAGGTCCTGAAAAAGACAATGATTAGGAAAAAATGTCACACTACAGTTCAAATCCTTAGTAATACGACTCAAGGATAGAAGATTAACAGAAAAATTGGGAACGTAGAGCACTGAAGACAGAAGTAAGGTAGGGGTGACATGAATTAAACCTTTTTCAGAGATAAAAGAAACAGTACCATCTACAATCCTAACTTTGTCTGGACCTGAAGAGGGCTTATATGCTGAGAAAAGGTTAGAAGACCCAGACATATGATCTGAGGCACCAGGATCAATAATCCATAACAAAGACTTATGGGAAAGAAAAGCACTAGGAGAAGAGGCTAAGTTACTTGAGCGGGCAAACGGCGAGGAAAATGCACTAGGAGCAGTAGAAGACTGGCGGACCAGCAAATGACGTAGAACATCCTCAAGCTCAAGAGAAGTCATACTAGATAAACTA